CACTCAAGTCCCTGATTTTTTAGTTTTATGTTTTTAGGTTTATTATAATAGAAAATTCGAATAGTACCAGTTGAAGAACGAAAAAGTACCATAAAGTCCCGTTTTATATGTTCTCACTTACTCCGGGCCCTACATGTTTAATTTCATGTCTATAGGTTCAATATTATAGAAAATTCAAAAAGTACCTTTTGAAGAATGAAAAAGTACCAATAAGCCCCTTTTATAGATTCTAATTTACTCCAGGCTCTACGTGCATAATTTCATGTTTCTAGGTTTAATTTAATAGAAAACTCAAAAAGTACCTCTTGAAGATCGAAAAATACCAAAAAGTCCCCTTTTATAGGTCCTCACTTAATCCGGGCTCTACATGCTTAATTTCACGTTTCTAGGTTCAATATTATACAAAAACTTAAAATGTACCTTTTGAAGAACCAAAAAGTACCAAAAAGTCCTCTTTTATAGGTTCTCACTTAATCCGGGCTCTACATGCTTTATTTCATGTTTCTAGGTTTAATTTTAAAGAAAACTCAAAAAAGTACCTTTGTAGAACGAAAAAGTACCGAAAAGTCCCTTTATTATTAATTTCATGTTTCGATTTCAATATCATAGAAAACTCAAAAAGTACCAGTTGGAGAATGAAAAAGTACCAAAAAATATCACTTGGTACCGGTGTTCCCATTAGCATATTTAGTGTTTATAGATCTAAAAATTTTATATAAATTGGATCATTGTGTTCCAAAAAGTTGTAACATCGTATTGTGAGCCCGTTATTATGTATTCATATGTATAAGTTAATAAACCAAAAACAATGTTTTATTAAAAAAGTACCAAAAATAGGTACAATTTTCACCCCTTAAACGTCCAAATATCCAAAAAGTACTAAATTCATCTTTTTATTTTTTCGTCAAGTTATGAAGGAGTCAAAAATATTTTTTGAATGTTCTCTGGTTTAAAAGATCAATGGGGTGCAAAAAATGTACCAAAATACAGTTTTTACCCGTTTATATCCTAAAGGGGCAGAATTTGAAAAAAGTACCAGACACCTGTCCGCTTATTTTTTAAATGAACGACGATAAGCTTTAAACTGTTCTTGTATCTTTTATAGTTTAGCAGATATGAGGTTACCGAATTTAGTTATTTTTAATCGTATATAAATAGTAGGAAAGTCAGAGTGATGGTAGTTCTTGGTAGTAATGTACATATATTTTCTTTAAGTGAAATTGTGGTAATTTTTGGACCGTTTCTCCTAAAATTTTACAAAGACTTTGGTTTCAATAAAACTTTTTATCGAATATTGTCGAGTATCAATGTTTTCTAAGCCTTGTATGAAAGCTTTGATCCAATATGGCCCGATCCTTATAATATTTGACAGAAAGATTTTAGAGGACCATATGTAGGATATATGTACCGATCATTATTAAGCAAGTTATGTGCATTATAGTAATTTTCTGAGGTAGATTTGATTGATATAAAATGTTTAGAAACTAAATGGTTTAACAATTTATAAAAATTTATAAAAATATATACAAAAATTGTTTATGTCGCATTTTTGAGCCAGTTATGAGCGATAAAGTAATTTTTTAATTGGGATATTAAAAGTGGGCGTAGGGTAGGGGCTCATACAAAACTTGTTTATGTGAAATTTCATCGCTGAAGTCGTATTTGAGCGTTACAGCCAGTAACAAGCGTTACAGTTATTTTCTGATGGGGACCTTATATGGAGGGTGGAGTCAATTATAAACCAATCTCCATAAAATTTGATAAATTTTGGTCATAGACACACAAAAGGATGTATATTTTGGGTCCATATTAAACTGCAAGACGATCTAGCCATGTCCGTCCGTCTGTCTGTTGAAATTACAATAGGGATCACACGGGAGGAGCTAGACAGTTGAAATTTTGCATAAATATTCTCTATTGATAAGGTAGGTTTGGTATTGGAAATGGGCAATATCGGTCCACGTTTTCGGATAGCCCCCATACAAGTGGATCCCCCAAAACAGCTTTAACGGGCATAACTGTTTTAAAAATATGAGTATACCGAATTCGACATATTAGCCAAAATCACTCTATCAACTTTTATGAGGATGGGTCCATAATTGACCCTACCCTCCTTCATAAATTGGCTATAACGCTTATTACTGGCATAAAATTAGGAATTTGGCGATGAAATTCGACACACATCAGTTTTATGCGAGCCAAAATCTCTCTACCAATTTGTTTGAGGATCGGCCTATAAATTACCCTATCCTCCATATAAGGTCCCCTTCAGAAAATTCCTTTAACGCTCATTACTGACTTAAAGTACAAGTATAGTTATGAAATTCAACATAAGTAAGTCCCTTACGAGCCAAAATCACTCTACCAAATTTTATATGGATCGGTCCATAATTGACCCTACCACCCCTAAATAAGGTCCCCTTTAGAAAATTGCTTTAACGCTCATTACTGACTGAAAAGTACGAGTATAGCAATGAAATTCGACATAAGTAAGTCTCTTACGAGCTAAGATCACTCTACCAAATTTTATGTGGATCGGTCCATAATTGACCCTACCCCCCATATAAGGTCCCTTCAGAAAATTACTGTAACGCTCATTACTGACTTAAAAAATACGAGTAAAGCTATAAAATCCGGTAAACATAAGTTTTATACGAGTCAAAATTTAGTGAGGATCGGTCCATAATTGACCCTACCTCACATATAAGGCCCCGCTTAAATTACTTTAACGCTAATTACTGGAATAAAAATGCGAGCGCAGCGATATATGAATCAAAATCGGTCTTTAAAATGCTGTCAGGATCAGTCAATAATTGACCCTACACCTCAAATAAGGTGCTCTTCAGTTAATTTGAAGTAGTATTCAAAAGATTACGAGTACTTAGAAACACAATTCTTCATTCCGAATTTTATAAGAATTGATACATAATTGACGCTAGGCCCTATATAAGGTTCCCTTCATGAAAGTGTTTTGCTTATTCCTTATTTAAAAATTGGAGTATAGTGATGAAATTCGATATAAACAAGTTCTATACAAAACAAAATCTATGTACAAAATTCTATAAGTTTCGGATCATTATTGACCCTACTCGCATGTAAGGTCCCCTTCAGAAAATTACTCTTACGCTCATGATTGAATCGAATATACGAGTAGAGCGATGAAATTCGTATTATACGAATGGAAATCTTCCTATCAAATTTAACGACAATCGGTCCATAATTGACCCTACTGTTTATATGCATGTGTATGTATGTTCAGGGTTTAAAAATTTAACAAAACTATTTTGTTTTTAAAAATATATATTTTGTTATTTCAAAAGAGCTCGGTCCATAATTGATTTAAGCCATATTCCTGATGTTTATAGAGGGCCATTCCTTTTACGGCATACGGTTTGATGGCGGGTATATGAGATTCGTCATAGCCGAATATAACACTCTCACTTGTTCGTTTTTCAAAAGGTACTTTTTGAGTATTAAACCAAAAAACAGAAAATTAAGCGTGTAGAGCTCGGAGAAAATGCTCTAAATAAAATGAAGCCTTTTGTCAGGTATTTGTCTTCCCAAGGTACAAAATTGGAAATTCAAGGATTCTAGAGAGCGGTGCTATTTATAATTTGGAACTAGTACTATTGCGTCTCTTGTATATTGTAATTTTAAACTCTTCCGACTCAAAAGCTTGCCCTAGTATAAATAAATTCTATTAAAAAACAAAAGACTTAAGTAACGAACTTTAATTTTACAGGCCAACGATTGAAAAAACTTTTTAAATAATTTTTACTAATTATTGTGTGCTGATCCCGAAAATCACCTACCAATTTTCCACATTTTAATATTTTAGTTCCCGTGACTGTAAACTTGTGTCTCAAATAGTTGATGGCATTTTGCTTGAAAATTGTGGGTGATAGACAGATTCGGTTTCAGCAGCTAAAAATACATTAAATTACAAAAAAATACATCAGTCGAATTGGTTACAAAAGTTTTTACGAATCCTCATTTCGTGGGCCTGTGTTATTAATTTAAATTATTTAATTCTTCTTTGATAAAGAATCTTCTCAAAAAGTTTAATTTTTCACTTAATGCATTACAAAATCAACATTTTCATTCGCAGTAATATTTTTGCTATTACAAGCTTAATATCAAGATTACCAAATTGAAATATTTTATAAAATTTTTTTCACTTTCAGCTTAAGAATTTACATCCTGGTACTCTTAAGAAGAAATATCATAATTAAAAAATTGGTTAAGCTTAATTTTTAAAAGTGTTGTTTCTTACACTTCCTACATTTTTGTGTTGAACACTTATAAGTGAGTAAATATGAATATGTGCATACGAATTATATTCAATCAATTAAATTCTATAACTTTTTTTTATTAAACATACAGCACACTTCTGCACTGCATTTTAGAGTATGAAGTGTGTTTGTGTGTGTGTAGTTTTTTTGCGTTTGCAAAATCTATTTGTTTTGCAAATTTATTCGGATGAAATAGGAAAAACAATGTAGAAGAATTAGAAAAAAACACACAAATTCCGATTTGGTTTCGTACAGACTTCTTGGGTGTATACTTTTTTCTATGGTAGATTGTCTTGAAAAGCTGTAAGCTTTTTTTGTTTTTGCTCTACTTTAACTGTTATAATATTTTTGCCTGTAAATGAATTTGTTTAGTTGTATGGGTTTTTATATGATGATTGTTTGTTGTTAATCTATTTAGATATATGTATACGCTGCTTATGTTATTGTTGTTGGTTTTATTGTTAAAATTAAAGAAAAGACAAGAAAAACAAAAAACGATCGACAACACTAAACTGCACTACATACGAATGATTTGTTTTGTTGTTGTTATTACTTTTTCGGTTTACTCTAGTTGTTGTTTTTATTGTTACTGGCTCGATCTGTTTGTGTCAGTCAGTTTAGTTCAGTTAAGTTGAGTTTGATTTCATTTCATTTCGTTTTTTTCATTTTTGGTTTTGTTTGTTTTGGGGGTATATATTGGTGTACTTTACCACTTGTCAGCACAGTTCGTTAACAGTCCTAGTCGCGATTCTAGGAGGTTAAACCCACTGAGCGTGTGTCTAGTTTTAATAACCATTTAATTACCCTTTTTATCTCCTTAATATTTGTTTATTTGTCGTTGTCTACAATATAAAATTAAAAAAAGGATATTGTGTGTGCCGTATTATTAAAAACAACAATTGTGATCGTTTAAGAACTAAAGTGTGATCTATTTTTTACAAATAATTTTTAAAAGCTTAAACAAAATGAAACCCTTTGTAAGTAATGAAAAAGGATTAAATAAAAAATTCTAATATATAAAAAGGAAAATTTTGTAATAGAAAAAATCAAACAATTAAAAGTGTTATAAACTGTTATAAAAAAAGTACTGCAAATTGTAAATTGTATTAAGAGTTTTAACTAAACCAACTAAAGAATTTCTAGAAGTTTTTGAAATTTTGTTAAAAAGTGATACCAAAAAGGACTTATTAGCAGCTTTTTTATACAAAGCTAGTTTTTAGTGTTCTGTTATTGTAACTAAATTAAATTACATAACAAATATTGCTTTTAATAGAGTAATTTTATTGTAATAACCAAAGAATTGTTAACATTTCAAGGAATAAAAAAAAGTTTAAAGGAAGAAAGTAATTGTTGTACGAAAAAAACTTAAGAAGTTTGTGCCAAAATTCAATTAATATATTTTAAAAGTACGCTGCCTTTGATAGATTAGTTTCCATCAGAGATCATGGGTTCGATTCTCCCAGATAGTCTGGCAAAGTAGCTTACAAAATCCCTTATAGTATTCTAGATTAATTGCTACGAATCTGATGTAACATACATCTTAATTTCAAACAAAATAACTAACTACTAATGTTCTTTAAGGGTCATGTTTACAGTAGAATATCGCTGCCAAAATGACAGAGAAAGTGTGACAGAGTTTCATTATACTAAGACAATGCTGTCACAAACCTATCTTCCAATTTTGTAAAATACATTAAAACTTAAGCATTTGAGTAATTCCTTTGTATTCAATAACAAAAGTATTTTATGTTTAAGAATATTTCGAATAACATTTTATCATATTTTTCAAAGTCAAATATAAAATAATTGAAGACAATCACTCCCGATTCAATAGATAAGAATCAAGAAAGGAGAACAACATGATCCAATGGAAAAATTTGTATTAAATTCATATTTAACATTTTTAAGACCAGCAATCGAGATTCAGTGAAAAGTAAGAGAAAGTAGAACCATACAAAAATTCACTTTATTTTTGCTTTCCTGGAAGTTTTTCTTCTGTACTACAATTAGGAGTGACGTAGGAATAGTTATAAAAGCCAGAATTAAAAATCTTTGATCCCAGCACACTTCTAAGTAAGTTTTATTAGAAACCCAGATGAAGTAAAAGATATAAGAATGTTTTTCAAAATAGTATCAGAAATGAACGGCATGATCCAAAGGACAAATCTGTATTCAAGACCAGATTTAAAACCTTTAAGAAAATCACTCTAGATTCACTAAATAGGAAGCGTAATTAGAACTATAATATACATCTAAAGACAATGTATTCTAAATGCAAAAATCTATAGAATGCACTTGTACAGAAGAAACTAGTTATTTTTATTGTTTAGTAGTTATTGATCTAATCTGAAAGACCAGACGTCGAAGGTTTGATTTCCAATAGAGACGCTGGTAAATGTAAGCACAAAGGGCCCGCTGGAGGCTTAGGTGTATTTCTGCGGAATTGACATAACATACATCTTCCTTTCAAACTTACTAACTGTTATTTTTCAACAATTTTTAGTTTAAAGATCAAAACTGATCCAAATGCTTTTTAAGACAACCAAATTTAACGATTAACGAACAACATACAAAAAAGTTTCGAAGGTTATATTTCAAAAAGTTCCAAGGAGTTATTTTTATAGGTGGAATAGTTCTCACTGAGGGAAACAATTTACTTAAATTTGAAAACTTCATATAACTTTAAAAACTTAGGTTTAACTTCTTTCCTTAGTGAGAACTGTAAGACCCAGCCTAAGTATTCTTTGGAAACTAATGTTTTATTGGACCATCATAAAAGTTTTAAGGCAATTATTTCTATTATAGTATTTCTATGAATTAGATATATAACGTCAAAAAAGTATATAATTCTGTAAAAAAGAATCTATTAAATACGTTAGGAAATCTATTCTTTGAAACGACTTCAGCAGACACATTCAAAAGCAAATGTCCAATCATGTCGAGTTAAATGGTGAGAACAGTTTTCAGTTACATGGTTCCAACATTTTTCTTTATTATGACCAATATCAATGTCCGTGAACGTTATAATATATTAAAACATGTAATAGTGCCATTTACTCAAATCATAAAAAATGATTTTGAATCAAAAAAAAAATGCTACAGCTCCAGTTTTATAAAACAATATTTTTTAGAAGTTATTAAAAAATGCTTTAACAAAAAATAAAAAAAATAAAACATTTTAAGAATCCAAATTGTATAGAGAGTCTTGCAGTTGTCTTAAAAATTACTTAAGAAACAATCAAATATGTCCCTCAAAATTTATACTATGAGCAAAAATTTTTTACAGCAACCACAAAGAATTGGCCTTGTTATTCACACCCTAAAAAGAAACATATAAAACATATGAAAATTTTGATCTCAAATGTCTTTTAAACAAAACTGACAAAACAAAGTTTCTTAAAAAATGCCCTTGTACTAAAGATTCAATTGCCCACCACAAAAAATTAAAAGAAAAACAAAAGATTTAAGAAACAAACTTGCAAAAAACAAGAAACAAAAATTTTCACAAACATATTTTCTTAACTAAAGAAACCTTAGTAAACATATAAAACGAAAAGCAAAAACCGAAATTTTTAAGTTTAAAGTCTTAAAATTTAATGTCAGACCACAAAAATGTTATAATAACAACATTAACCTACACATATGACTGTATGTATGTTACTTACAGCCGCTAAATAAACTTGCAACATAATACGTCTTTAGAGCTATTGCAAATAAGAAAAAATAAATTTAAATAATTCCATAAATATGCAAAACGAAGACAAAAGAAAATCAAAAATAATTATTCGTTGAAAATCGAATTATGGCAATTGATTAAAAGTTTCTACACTGATTTTTCTTCAACTTTTGTATGTATCAATTACTAGCAGTTAAGCTTCAATGAATATTATTAAACTAAAGAATTAAAACAGAAAATAAAGCTGAACAAAAAATTGTAACGTAATATGAACTAATAAAACAAATTGCATATTTGCTAAATGAAAATTGAAATAAAACAAAAAAAAAAAAAAAATAAGTTTTCAAAATCGTAACCAATAGACATAAACATAATGTGCATGTTGTAAATCTAAAAATTAAACAACAACAAAAAATTAATAGAAATGTATATAATTCAACAAAAACAACAAGAAATTTACAGAAAACTAAAAGAAATATTTAGCAAATAATGGTTTATTTACAACAACAAGTGGCAATTTGTTATGCTGATGGCTAAAGAGTGGGTTGGTTTTGGGGCAAGTTGTATACAACAAACGTAATATTCATATGTTTACAGCTGTTGAAAAAACATATTGTAAATCTCTGGGTTACTGGGTTATAAATTAAATACATACTATATAAAGAAATAATAGAAAAATAACAGCAAGAGATTTGCAAACTGAAATTTTAAATTATAGATTTTAAGCTTATTTTGCCTTTTCCTTTAAAAACTGTGGAAATAATTGCAGAAAGTTGCAAGAAACACAAAAAACTGGGTGTGACAAATTAGTGTTTAAATTACTATTCATTAGACTTTCTAAAATTTTTAACATAATTTTATGAAAAAGAACTTCCAAGGAAGTGAAAAATATGTTATAAAAGAATCTTAGAGGCTTTGAAATTGTATATAGACAACTCTGCCGTGCACTCTGTTTCAAATAGAGATTACTATTATTTCAATTAAAACTCCAGAATATAACAGTTATACAACTTTTTACCTTTAGATAAAACTGTTATAGAAAACTTTTTAGAGCAAAAACTGTTATACACAGCTATGTAGAAAAAATAAATAACAGCTATGTAGAACTTTTTCTACAGAAAAAACTGTTATACACAATTTTTCTATAAGAAAGTTCTCATAAACTATTTTTACTATGAAAGAGAACTTCCAAGGACGTGAAGAAAGTTGCTTAAAATAGAGAATTGGAACTTTACATTATAACAGATATACAAACTGTTATACAACGCCTTTTCTTTAGATAAAACAGTTATACACAATTTTTTATATATAGAAAACTTTTTAATTTAAAATTTTTTATGATAAAAAACTGTTATACATAAATTTATTTATAAAAAAACTGTTATACTCAAATTTTTTTATGAAAAAAAATTTGTAATACAAAATTTTTTCTATCAAAAACTGTTTACATATATTTTTCTAAAGAAAAAACTGTTATACATAACTTTCTCTAGAGAAGATACTTTCATACTACTTTTTCTATAGAAAAACTTATAAAAAACTATTTTTATTAAAAAAATACACCAGACAAACTCTTATACAAAACTTTTTCTATAACAAAACTTTTATACACAATAGAAAAAAAGTGTCATACACAATTTCACAATAGAAAAACTTTTATACATAACTTTTTCTATAGAAAGAACTTTTTTTATAGGAAAAAGTTGTAACTTCAGCTTTTTTATAAACAAATATTTTTTTAATATAATGTTTCCTGTAGAAAACTTAATGCACTTTTTCCATAGAAAAACATGTATACACAACAAGTTCTACAAAAGGAATTATACGGAAAATCTTCATTAGAATAAACTGTTATACACAGCTTCTTAAATAGAAAAAACAGTTTTTTCCATAAGAAAAACTATTGTACACAACAAAAATCTTTGTCTTGTGTATTTGTTAGCCGACCATTTTTAATAAATATTTATTTTAAAACATATTATAATTTAGCCATTACAAATCAGCTTTCAAGTAATGAAAAGTAATGACTTAAAAATCAATTTAAAATATGTCCTTTTTGAATTACTTACAAATTGGCTTTTAACAGATTATTTTAAAATGTCGACACCATTGGTGGCAAGCATTTAACACTATTGCTTACATAATAAGTAAATATAAATAGGGACTTTAATAAATGTATATCACTTTCCGTTGCACCCTGTACTCAAGTCATTTGCATCAACTTATAAGAGATTACAAAACTTCATTTATTACATATTTACATTCCATGTAACACACATAAATGTGGATACATCTGTGTGTTCGAGTACAAAGCATATACAATTATAAATGACTATAGTACAGATTGGCATTGCATGCTGTGGCATGCAGGAGGAAAATGTTTTAAATAAATATTATGCAAAATAACAGGAAAATAGCGGTTGAAATGAGGTTTTGGGTGATGTTAGTAGTAGTTTGTGGCACACATTTTACAGTGACCAGTAAAAAACAAAGCGAATAATAAGAAATAATATATTTTTAAAACTGCTGGTGATTTGATAAAAGCAACAAGCTGATAATTAATATATTTATTTTTTTAAACATTGACATTCGCCTTGGCTCCCAAATCATTCATATTTTTAGCTATACGAATTGAATTGTCATTTACTTTCTCTCACAACAGCATGAAGCTTCACGTAATAAAATTTGCTAAAATTTTGGAAAATTTCCCAATTTATATACTTTAGTTTGGACTTTATAGATCAGTTAAGTGGGAAATGGAATTGATCTTAAATGTGCAAAATTGTTATACTTTCACTTGATACTCCAAGTTTATAATTTGTATGCAATTGCCGTCCCCTTAAACCATTAGTTATTTTTATCCACATTTTTGATTCCACCTACCCACTGTCCATTGCTAAGTGTAAAGGCGTTTTATTAAGTGACACTTTAAACATTTTTATCTAACATTTGAAACGATTTCCCATTTAGTTGAAAAAAGTTAATCATATTAAATTTTAATAGCCAACTAACTTTTAACAATTATTTTCAATTTCAGCTAATTGTGTGTGCCTTGTTGGTTGCAACATGCTCGGCATCATATCATGGCGCCGTCTCGACACAATATGCCCATTTAGATCCTAATAGCCATAGTTATTCGTATGGCTATGCTGATCCCAATTCACAGAAACATGAAACTCGTTCGCATGATGGTGTCACACATGGCAGCTATTCGTACATTGATGGACATGGCCATAAACAAACTGTTTCATATACCGCCGATCCTCATCATGGTTTCCATGCTGTTGGTACCAATCTGCCAAAGGGTCCTGCTCCCGCACTAGGTCATGCTGTTGCTGCTTATGATGGTGGCCATGGTTATGCTTCGGGTCATGCTTATCATGGTCCTCAAGCCCATATTACTTTGACCCATGAAGGTGTGCCTCACGATACTCCCGAAGTTGCCCATGCCAAAGCTGCACATGCTGCTGCTCATGCTGCCGCCGCTGCTGCTGCCTACGATCATGGCGGTCATGGTGGTCATCATTTGTACAAACGTTCCTTGTGGGGTCATGGTGCCTATGCCCATCAAGCTGTTGCTCCTATTGTCTTGACTCATGGTGGTGTGCCTGTCGATACTCCCGAAGTACAACATGCCAAAGCTGCTCATTATGCCGCCCATGCTAAGGCCTTAGGTGCCGCCGGTCACGGCCATGGTGCCCCCTTGGATACACCCGAAGTTGCTCATGCTAAAGCTGCCCACTTTGCCGCCCATGCTGCTGCCAGTCATGGCGGTCCTTCTCATGCTATTGCTGCTCATGGCTATCATGTACCTGTCATTCACAATGGTGTTCCCGTAGATACTCCCGAAGTTCAACATGCTAAAGCTGCCCACTTTGCTGCCCTTGCCAAGGCCTCCGCTGCTGCTGTTCACTCTGGTGGTGATGATGGTAGCTGGGATGGTGGTCACATCAGTGGCGGACATGGAGGTCCTCCCACCCACTATGCCACTTCTGCTCATCATGTCCATGGTGGTCCCTATCACGGACCCCTTCACATTCCAGTCATTCACAATGGTGTGCCAGTAGAACCCGCTGAGGTACAACATGCCCGTGCTGCTCATTTATCTGCCTTGGCCGCTGAAAGCCATAAGTCCGCTGGTGGTTACTATGGTGGTGGTAAATGGTAAATTTGAAAATTTCTTAAATACTTTTCGGAAGAGGTGATATACAAAACGGAACTGATTTAACAACATGAAGTTAAAATGAAATTTTATACAAAAAAAAATAATTTTAGATGTTTAAGTTGAAAAACATTGAAGAGTAATTTCTATAACTTTCTACTTTAAACTCAACTATTTTCTTTTCATTTTTTCCAATTTCCTATGATTTTCCAGAAACTTTACACGCGCTCTTTAAACTTTTCAATTATTACTGGAGATGATCTGAAAAGATTTTGCCGGTAATACTTAACTATACTTTTTTTACTCTATAATCTTTTAAAGAAAAGAAACTCAATAGTCTCTGTAATCTCACTAAAACTGTAGTAAAACTTAACACTGCCCTTAACTTTAACTACTTAACTTTAACTAGTGTATCTTTATCTCTCTTTAACTGTACTTCTGTTTTAAACCAATTTTTTCACTTTTCTATTCTCTTTATTCCTTTTAAATGAGTTTCTTTACTTTTGCTATTTTTATCTCTTTTAAACCTCAACTTTCTTCTTTAAATATCTTTCCATCAACACTTATCTTTTTCGATCTCTTTAGATCCTTTTTACTCTCTCTAAGTCTTTTAACTTTACTCTATGACCAATCTAAGGACCACCCTCCTACACACATACACACTCAATCTCACTCACTCTTATTCTAATACTAACTAACTTGATTTATGTAGCCAACGATTTTGCCAATGCCCTGAATTTGATTTAAACTCTCTTTTATATTAACTCATTTATTACTATTACCCTAAATGTTATTTAAAGTCTTAGAGTGGAAAGGGCGCAAATTCCCTTTCCCCTCATGACAACAATTGTTTAAGCTAAATAATGAATTTATTTCTTTTTTACACTTTTTATCTCCCTGTGAATAATTTTAAAGCATATTAATTATTTAAAAATAGATGTTGTAAATACTATTGTAAAATATTAAAAAAAAAAACAAAAAAAAAAAAAAAATAATATAATTATGAATATTGTTATCGTAATTGAAACATATTGAAAAACTGCATGCAAAGACAAATAAACTGATACAAAAAGTATTTAAAAAAATATAAAAAGTTATGTTTGGTTTTTATTGTTCTATTATAATGGGATTGAAAGGATTGTTGACGATTATAAAAAGATTAAAGTTTGGCATTATAAAACTGCTCTTTCTTTGTAGGTTAGAAATACTACGTTCGCTTACAAATAAGTACCGAAATAAGTCATTACAAATATAAAAGTTATTGTTTTTACGCAAAAACATAATTTCCTACACGGAATACGAATAAATATTATATGTAAGTCATTATTAGATTACTTAAAAGTAATACAAATGGTTTATGCTAATCATTGAGATTAAGTAGTTGCGCAAGTAAAAGTCATTAGCAAGTTTTTAATGGCAATGGACCTTTTAAGATTGCCCATAAGTCTAGTGAGGTGTTATTCAGAGCGAAACCATAAATCTGCAATCATATTTCTGTGAAATGTGCACATCACATCGAAAGTTGTCCAAGAATTATTAAAATCAAAGAATATTTATTACAAGAATGCGCATCTCGACGTGCGGGTTGTTATGATTTACACGTATTCTTTATGTATTGCGACCCGCTATTGAAAATTTATCTTGTATGAGACGCGCATTCGCGCACATGTTCTAAATATTCTTTGCTAAGATATAAGAAGAAGATATAGAAAAATGTATTAATCTCTTCTAACATGGACTCCTGGATGTGATGATGTCAAGGGTAATAATAATCAAGGATATCCCACTTTAAGATAAACTTTTCAGACGACCTAATGATTAGTTACATCAAAGTTAAGGCTTAAATGGTTATTTTGAGTTAAAACGTATACATGTGGTTAATGCAGACAATGCCTAACTTGAAACAGTTATACAAAGTAATACATTACCCGTAGAGTAGTAGAGCCAATGATGACGAGCAACTTGTTCTCCAACTCAGACCTTAATTAAGACTGATGTCGAAGTGCTTTACGTGAATATCTGCAGTGTTGGCCCTATTTCACTGTGATACTTTTACAAACACAAGGTGAGCTTTTCGACGACTCACTTTGTGCTGCTTTTTGGTATTTTTTTCTTGATTATGCCGGTCTATGTATAAGCGCTTTGCTCAAGAACTCGGGCTATCTAATCTAATACCATTGCTGCTCCGTTGCTTAACTTCTGAGACACAACAAGAAGACTGTTATATTCGGCTATGAATTTCACAGCCAGTTTTGAGCGTTAAAGTCATTTTCTGATATAGACTTTATATGGGGGCTAGGTGAAATCGTGGACCATTTTCAATACCAAAATGTGCAAAATTTCACCTCTATAACTGTTCCCCTTTGTACCCATAGGGGTACCAGCCCACTCGGGAGTAGTCAGTAACGAAAGGGCGAATGTAATAGCTTTAAAGGGAAGGGAGCTCGAGGCAGTTAACCTGACAAACGCAAAACCAGTCGACGCAAGAAAGGCTGAACTAAGAATATGGGTAAGAGAATCCCATAAGGCCTCTTGGAATAATGAAGCAACATCAGGGGTGACCCTGATGAGAGCAAGACGAATAATCCCCTCAAAATGATCAAGTCTGAAGTTAGTATGATGGTACGTATTCTGAGTGGACACACAGGATTACGAGCATATCTCTGCAAAATTGGACGTGCGGATTCAGACGAATGTAGAGCATGTGGAGAGGACAGTGAAACTCTGGAGCACTTTCTTTGCCACTGCTAGGCATTCGTCGAAGTTAGATCCAAGTATCTTGGAAGTGATGTTATTCCGAAAATAACATTACTGACTAACACTGATTGGAAGATTCTTAGGAATTACGTTCAGGAAACTGAGTTTCTGAACACTGAAAAAAAATTCATTCAGTTCCTTTTTTTCATTATAAGGAGCGGCCCGATAGTGGCCTAGGTGTATTTCTTCGGATTTGATGTAGTACATCAACCTATCAACCTACCTACCTACCTACCTTTCACAAATTTATCATTTTAGTCTTTCAATAAAAGTTTTTCCTTACAATATTTATGGCTTATTTACATTAACACAATCAATCAAATTGGAAACGATACCAATATCAACTTGATACCTTAATTACACAATAACTTACAATTACTTACTTGTATATCGATAAATGTATGCCCAAGCAGAAGGACCACAAAAAGGTGGTAATAAAAGTGAAAAAGGAAAACATTGAGCAATACAATTTATTAAATACAATCAACAAGTATTTCCAGCAATATTTGATTGCATATCAATAGAATTTATTTGATTAGGTCAATAAGCCATAAATTAAAGCAAAAGCAATCAAATCAAAAGAAAATTTACACCTTTCTCTCTCTCTCTCTCTCTTCCAACACAAAAACATACAACCAAATTACTTTATATTACAAAAAGAGACCTAAGGCAAGAAGAATATTGTAAACATAATTACAAACATTTGAAAAGGACAAATATAATTTCAAAGGAGCAATAACAGGATTTATTAAATTTTACTTTATTTGTAGAGGAATCCCTTTCACATTTCATTGGTATTCCTTATTTATTAATCAAGTGTAACAATAAAGATTTCAAAAGCCACAAAATATGAAATAAATAAAATTTAAGATTAAATTTATCTTTCAATTGTTTGCCTTTATTAGAGGCCTGTTTCAGCAGTTTACTGGGTTCATTGTAATGCATGGCCACATATTTTGTACTGGTACCCCAGGAACCTAAACAATAATCTATTAATTCATCGGCCACATAGGTACGATGCATTAGACAAATCATTCGAGCACTTTTTAATTTTATAACACTTTGTTCACATTGTAGAAAATCGGCCTCATGAATTTTCAAGTTGTTGGAACAATTGAAGATGTCACTTAAATTATGAGTTATAAAATAATGATTATCCTGATCATTGACACGAAAAACGGCATAGTTTAAGTTGGGTATTACATGATCATCCAAATAACGTAATTTGATTTCTCTGGGATATTCTGCGCTACACAAGCGTGTTAGAAGTTTATTGTTTAAAGTGGAACAGCGTCCGAACAGTAGGGATTTTGAGTATTTGATGTTATGATTCAGAAAAATTAAAACAAGGATTTGGAAAATTGTATGGATTTGAAAAAACATTTTGTTTATATTTTTAAAATGTCTTTTTCTTTTTTAAATTGAAAAAAAAAAAAATTTTAACAGAGTTGAAGTCATGGGATGTATTTCTTTAGTTGTACAATTCAAAACACGGAACTTTGTTTCTAATAAAGTATTTACTAAACTATGACCATCACTATTTAAATAAATTTAACTTAAGCAACTGTTGTATTATCAAATATTTCTATAAAATTGCAATTAATTAATATTTTTTATTACATTCAACTGTATTACAAACGAATGCGGTAACTGCAACGATAAAATTCTACTTCTGTTAAATAAAATATCAAATGTATTACCATGAAATTAGACAAGTTTAATGTTTATTTTATCGATAATTAAGGTTTATATTTTGATACGTTTTCTATCGCATTTAGCTGCCAATACGCATGCTGTTGATAAAAAAAAAGATAAATTAATAAATATTTATGTAAATTTATGTTTCTGTATTAATTTGTTAATAAAATATATAATTTATATATCGCGGTTTAATTAAAGTTATAAATAATAATAAAATAAAATCCACCAGAACTAGAATTAATAAAAATGAAATAACAAATTAAATAACAAATTACAAATCTAACTTTTGCAAAACTAAAAAAAATATCCATAATTTAAAATTATAAAATCAGTTTTAACTCTTTACTAGTTCAATTTCAGTTGCAGTTCTACTTCAGTTCTAGTTCAATTCTAGTTCAGTTCTAGTTCAGTTCTAGTTCAGTTCTAGTTCAGTTCTAGTTCAGTTCTAGTTCAGTTCTAGTTCAGTTCTAGTTCAGTTCTAGTTCAGTTCTAGTTCAGTTCTAGTTCAGTTCTAGTTCAGTTCTATTTCAGTTCTAGTTCAGTTCTAGTTCAGTTCTAGTTCAGTTCTAGTTCAGTTCTAGTTCAGTTCTAGTTCAGTTCTAGTTCAGTTCTAGTTCAGTTCTAGTTCAGTTCTAGTTCAGTTCTAGTTCAGTTCTACTTCAGTTCTAGTTCAGTTCTAGTTCAGTTCTACTTCAGTTCTAGTTCAATTCTAGTTCAGTTCTAGTTCAGTTCTAGTTCAGTTCTAGTTCAGTTCTAGTTCAGTTCTAGTTCAGTTCTAGTTCAGTTCTAGTTCAGTTCTAGTTCAGTTCTAGTTCAGTTCTAGTTCAGTTCTAGTTCAGTTCTAGTTCAGTTCTAGTTCAGTTCTAGTTCAGTTCTAGTTCAGTTCTAGTTCAGTTCTAGTTCAGTTCTAGTTCAGTTCTAGTTCAGTTCTAGTTCAGTTCTAGTAATTTAGTTCTAGGATATTTTGTCAAAAATTTGTAAATAAAATTTATTTTTTTTAATTATTAATAATTCAAGTGCAAATTTTATAATGTGGGAAATTTTTTTCCAATATCTCTAATCGATTTCAGATTAAATTGTTAAATTTTCATAAATAAAAATATTTTTTTTATAACCACTTTATTTAAATAGTTATTATCCATAAACGTGCATGTCTAGCCGATATTAAGATCTCAAAACAAAGCAACACAATTTAATTTACATCTTTATTTCAAACATTTCTACAGGTGTGTAACTTGAGCAGAAAATTTATTGTAACAATTAAAAACTGAATTATATTTATTTTTTTTTTTTGTAGCAACATAAATAATAATCATAAACACAATCAATAATAACAATATGAAATGTCTTGACTGGTATTCTTATGGACCAGTGTATTGTGTACAAATAGTATCATTATTACATTATTTCAATTAGTCAAGTAAATAAATAATGTTTGTTATTGTTATTTTTATATGTTTTATTATTTCAACAAAAAGAAAAAAGGAACAAATATAGAAAATATTTTATAACTATTGTTTAAACAATCAACAGATTATACAAACAAATAGCGATTTGTATACATTTAATTAATATTAAAATATTTATAACGCCATCATATCACAAAATTAATACAGTGGACGTCCAC